AAATATGGGTAAATATACCGGTATTATCGTATACCGGTATGACGTCATACCGGTATATCTGCATTTCGGTTTGCATAAGGGTTTTCATACCATTACCCAAAAATATCGGTAAAATACCGGTATTTTGCATACCGGTATAAGTCCCTGTGTATGAAAGACCTCCTCGGTAGCCTAACAGGGAAGACGACGGCCCGGAAAGCCGGAGATTCCAGGTTCGACTCCTGGCTGAGGAGTATTTTTTCGCAATATTTTAAAATTAGTTCGGGGGTTATTCGGGGTCTTTCATACATGAGATGCAAGTATAGCATACTGTATGATTTTAAGAATTGAAATTTCAATTAAAAAAACACGTGTAAAAATTTACATGTGAATATATATATATGTATACATATATATAATAGAACATTTCAGCATAACATCCTGCAAAGCGGCTCGTATGATCTTATTCTTATTCATTTCTTAAAGAAATTTTACTTTGGAAAAATATTGTATTATAGTTTTTAATTTATTAATATTTAAATATTTAGAATGATAAAACTTAAAATTTCTCTTTCTTAATTGACTTTTCAAACTACTAGAGCAATTTCCAATTTTAAACTTTATAAGGTAACTATTAATTATTAATTCAAGTTGTATATTTGCAAGAAAACATGATGTGGTAACATTTATCTTTTTTCTATGCGTCCTAAAATTCATCGTTTTCATTGTTTCCAAAATATCTAATAAAGCCATGAGAGTGGTAATCTTCGATTTGCTGTTCTATGGCTGTGTTCCAAAATTTACTGCCAGCGCTAAAGATCTATAGTTTACGTCACATATATTATACAATTTTAGCACTGGCAGCAATTCTGGAACACAGGGTATGTGTGGGTCTTACATAACCCTCATCTCGGATTTTAAATAAACGTTAGACTGAAACAGTAGGTAGGTTACAATAACTGACATTGTTGAAATAACAGACTATTCCTACTTTCTTATAGATATCAAGAAGTCTCTTGTTCAATCAGATTTCCGCATCGGAAACTCTGCTTTAAAAATATCTTTGAAACGCGATGAAATTTATAGAACAATAATATCTTACTATTTCTATTTTTAAAATTTGTTACTTTTTCAAGGTATACAATAAGAGAATCGACATTTTTGCAAAAAAAAACAAGATTGCCTTTAAATGTCCTCACCCTGATAGCCAAGCATGTTTTGCAAAATCATGTAACTTANTGCTGAGCTGAAGTTTTCAACTAGTTGCTGTGTATTTGCTGAA